TATTAAAACCCTAGCTCCTTCTCTTGTTCCGCCTTTCCCCTCATTCACAACATCTCACTTACACTGGTCTGCTGCTCATCCTCCACACACCAAGCTCATGCCTGTCTCAGGTCCCTTGCACACACTGCCCCTTCTGCTTGAAATCTCTTCTCTCAAAATACTGAATGGGTGTTTTTTTATCATTCAATCTCAGCTCAAATGTCACCTCTTCAAGCTTTCCCTAACCATCCTAGGTGAAGCCATGCCACATCCCCACCTCCACTCTCTACCACACCATCCTATTTTAGCCTCCTCAGAGCACTTACCTACGCAAATTTCTTATTTGTTTACTTGTTTACTTTCTGTCTACCCATTCTCACTTAAGACTGCATCCCCAGTATCTAAAACAGGGCTGGGCATACAGTAAGCTTTCCATAAGCATTTTGGGAGCAGCAGTTTCAGAAAGCAACAGTGTGTCCACTGTCTTCAAGATGGTGATTCTACCCCTCCACCCTCCCACCCAAATCTGAGATTGGAAGTTTGTTTATGTATTCACTTATTCACTCAGTTCACATCTACTGCTGACTATGAGACAGCTGAGAAGGTGCCACTGAAGAGGCAACTAGAATGACCTGTTGTTTCACAATTTAATGAAAGATTTTTTCTTAACATGGTACTTTATAGAGAACTTAACTTCTGTCAAATATGTCAGACTTCTTTGTAGTTAAATGTTATCCCAGACTCACATGTAAGAAGTTATAGGACTTCCTCAAGGTCAGATAATGAGAACTCAGCACCCCAGCACATCAAGGCAAAACCAAAGCCCTGAGAAATGTTTTTGAAAGTGCTTAATTCCTTTTATTTAGGAGCTCTGGTGGTGTAGTGCGTAAGGCATTTGACGTTATCCAGAAGGCTGGCGGTACAAACTCAATAGCTACTCCTTGGAAGGAAGACCGGTCAATATACTTCCATAGAGATACCACCTTGGAAACCCAAGGAGGGGTCGCTATCAGCTGGAACCGGCTCAATGGCAGTGTTTTGTTTTGTTTTTCTTTTATTTACCATCCATAGTCATCTGTACAAAAACAAATATTAAAAACTAGAAGTAGGTATAGCTTTTGCAAAACTTCACCTCCCGTTTTCTTCAGTCTACTCTTTCTACCTGGTAGCAAGTACTATCAAATAGAACACTTTCAACTTAGAGAGCACTGTTCTCAGGTTATGCAGGATCAGTGGTGTCCTGGTCAATAGGCTGTCTTGATGTCAAAGGGAAGGAGTATAGTACAGCTGCCAGGAACTTTGGCTTTGGAATCAGAAAAGTGCAGATTTGAATCACACCTACTAACAACTAGTGATAAGGCCCTAACCAAAAACCAAACCAAAACTCACTGCTATTGAGTCAATTCGGACTCATAGCAACCCCTTTTGGGTTTCTGAGGTGGTAGATCTTTACAAAAGTAGATTGCCCAGTCTTCCTTCCACGGAGTGGCTGGAGGCTTTGAACTCCCAACCTCCTGGTTAGCGGTCAAATGCCTTAGGCACTATGCCACCAGACCTCCTAAAGGTCAGCCCGCTGTGTTGGCCGGGAATCGAACCCAGGTCAACTGCTTGGAAGGCAGCTATGCTCACCACTATACTGGCTGAATTTTGGAGAAAGAATACAAACTAAACTCATTGCTCTCCAGTCAATTTGACTCACAGCAACCCCTCCTTGAGTTTCCAAGGCTGTATCTCTACAGAAGTAGATTACTCAAGGCAGAATATTTCAGCTGAAAAATATCTCCAAGACCCTCTGCAGCAGGGCTTATTAGAATATAGTGGAAACTCCATGAGAACAGGGATTGTCTGCTTGGCTCACCACAGAATCTACAGCAAACAGTGGAAGCGCAGCAGGTAAGTGGAATGAAGAAGGAATGGATTGGATGCAAAGATAGGGTTCTGCCAAGACATGATGCCTAAGGTAGCAATCGCTACTTTTCAAGTGTAGTTCAACACATAAGTGGTCAGTTCACAAGGTTCTCAGCAGACAGTCCTAGCTGGCCAGTGCTTAAACCAACCTGACTAGTGGGAGGCAGTGTGGTATGATGCAAATGCAATTTTTATTCATCTTAGCGAAATGAACAGACAAGGAGACTTGGACTTTAATCCTGACTTTGCTAGAGTAGCTGGATTGTGTCTGGTAGTCACTCTGTTTTCTGAAGGCCTTGAATTCCCCATCTATAAAAGGAGAGAATGGACTGTACGATGATCATAAACAAATACACTCTATTTGCCCATCATTTTATAACAATAATCTGAAAACAAGAGTATCAGGTACTTGATAAATATTTCTTAAATGAGGATCATCTCCGTGATAGATGAGTCAACTGGGCTTCATAAGTAACTTGCTCAAGGGTACAGGGCCAAGGCAGAGCATGAACTTTCTACACTAGGTTAACCTTCATATTTTCTAAAATTGTTTTCAGTTCTAAAGTGTTGTTCATATACCTCTTTTCTAACCTCAGCAAATGTATAATCTTATTAAGTAATCCCACCTGACTGCACAACATCAGTACAGCAGGAGTAGGTAGAATCAACTATTTCTCCATCATCAACATATAGAATCAGAGGACCTTAAGAGGTAATTAAATGCAAATCCCTTGCCTTTGCCCAAAACTGAGATCAGAAGCATTTCATAATAAATTATGATTTCACTTTAAGTCACATAGTTTAAATTTAAGCAATAGATGAAAAATAATTGCCAGTAAAACAAAGCACAGCATGTAACAACTTCTTACTTCTATGATCAAAGTTGATTCAAAAATGTTCTCAAAGTCAAACATAAAACGTTGCAGAGAATTATCTATAAATGCTTGCTTCCTTTGTTTTTATTAAAAAAAAAAAAAAATCCTTGACATTGAACCTTTGTGTGTAACACCTTCCTAAAGACTGTCAAGTTAGGAGTGAAAAAAATCATCTGTCACAGCCACAGTCAACTTTCTAGATGGTTCATAACAGGAGTGTCAAGGTCAAACTGTTGAGTGTCCTTACCCTCCCATCTGTTGTTTGAAAGCAACTAATCGTGAGTTCAAAATACTCCATTCTAGCACTCTGCAAAATTGACACGTCAACTCCAGCACCACAGCTTACCACAGAAAGTTCTGTGAGGGTGGGCTGACATGGCACTAGGAGGGCAGAAGGGTGGTTAGTAGGACAGATGTTCAGGCCTCAGAACTACAGTGACAGCCTTGAAAGCAGGAATGTTCACCTCCTCCCCAGCAGTTTCAACATCTACCAAATGAGAATGTCCACCCTGCACCTGTTTCACTAGAAGACTATATGAATCAAGTGGTATGAGGAGCTAGAAATCTTGGAATCAAGTGAAAACGTCAGATTGCTTTGCTATCGTTAAAAAAACAAAACAGAAAACCGACACCCTTTGCTGTCAGTCGATGCTGACTCATAGCGACCCTTTGGGACAGAGTCGAACTGCCCCCACGGGGTTTCCAAGGCTGGCAATCTTTACGGAAGCAAAGATTGCCACATCGTTTTCCCGCGGAGCGGCTGGTGATTTCCAACCGCTGATCTTTCGGGTAGCAGCCGAACTCTTAACAACTGGGCCACCAGAGCTCCACATTACGACCTTTACTATTTACTTCGTCGGGCCGGAAGATCCCCCTCGCACTCTTGGCCGTAAGTTCCGCGGGGTCTTCAAAAGATGGAAGAGGGTACTTCTCCTAACTCCAGGTCTGGCAAACTGGCTAGTAAGTCTCTGATGCTCTGAGATAGGAAGTGAGTCAGACAGCCATTGGGCCCAAAGGGCTCTAGGGCGACCGTGCCCCCAGTCACCTTGTCCTCACCTTGAAGAATGGAAAGAAACTACGGGAGTGGAGAGTGCGAGCCTCAGAAAGGAGAGAGAAGCGCGTGCACTCTCCACCCGGCCGCTGCTGCTGGGCTCATGCCTTTCACGGGGCGGGAAAAGGGCCAGGGCAGTTGAGCCAGGACGCCTTGACCTCGGGCGCCAGAGAATCGGGCACAGACACTGAGCCCACGGCCCGGACACCCACACGAAAAGTCTGCCCGAGGTCAGGCTCGCCTCACCTAGCCTCGCCCACACCTACATACACAGTAGAAAGCACTCCGCCCCATGAACCCTGAGGGCCCTGAGCTTGCTCACCTGCAGCCGGGTCACCAGTAGGTTGTAAGGCGCCATTTTGTGCACTGACAAAGATGAGGTCGCGTGAAAGTGACGTGCCAGACGGCATATTTAAGACCTCTGAGTAGGGGCGTGGCCTAAGGAGAACGCGTCGGTGGTGGGGGCGGGGTCTTCCTAAACCAAACCGAACGCACTAGGGTCAAGTCGGACCGACTCAAAGCGACCCCTCCTTGGGTTTCCGAGGCTGTATCACTGGGCAAGTAGATTGCCCAATCTTCCTTCCGAGGAGTGGCTGGTGGGTTTGAACCACCAGCCTTCTGGTTAGCAGTCAAGTGCCTTAGGCACTACGCTGTCAGAGCTCCGGGGATCTTCGTGTTGTTGTTGTTGTTGTTATGTGCCGTCGAGTCGGCCCCGACTCATAGCGACCCCTCCTTGGGTTTCCGAGGCAGTATCACTACGGAAGTAGGAGGGGATCTTCCTAGAGGCTTCCAAACCTGGCGAACACAGTGAGCGGGGTTCCTATGTTAGGAATCGGCACGTGAGAGAACAGAAGGCAGTGATTAAATCACTTGCAGTGATTAAATGCGGGTACCAAGATGTTTTACTGAAAAACAAATTTCGCTTATATCTTCCAAAATCCAAATCTGGGAAAGGTATATTTTCTAGGACTTTCGCACACCTGCCAGGATCTGGCTCCGCAGCAACCACAGAAACTGGTTTTGAAACATGCGCTTTGATCTCGCGAGAGCGAGCAGCTTGGTGCAAAGATTCTTAACGCCTATTGGAAGTCTAGAGGGCCAATTACTACGACCAGGAGGCCGGAACAAAGGGGTCAAAGGTTGGGCGGAAGTTATCGAAGCTTCCTGTGGTGGGTTTGAAGAGAAGCCATGGCTAAACACCATCCGGATTTGATTTTTTGCCGCAAGCAGGCTGGTGTTGGTGAGTCGGCGCTCTGTCCCGGTTGTCTGGTGGTGGTGGTGTTAGGAGCTGGGAGGTTGGGAGTTCTTCTCTCTTCCCTAGGGTCTTCCCTCGGAACCGCCACGTTTCCCGCCTCACGGTCGCGGGGTAGTAGTGTAGGAGTGCGGGGTTTGTGGCCTCTGAGGGAGAGAGGACGCGGCGCACGGGCTGGGAGCCGGAGGTAGGCGGCCAGGGTGGGGTCGCTGGGTCCAGATTACGAGAAGCACTGTCTTAGGTTACTTGGAGGGGTCGTGACTGGGTTTGGTTCCGATCGAAGTTTGGTTTCCGAGCATCAGAAGAGCATTCGTTAGTGCTCTTTGCAGTCCCTGCCCCCGATCCACCGCAGCTCGAGGATGCTTTTCGTCAAAACCCCAATTCTAATGATGTTCTTAATCTTCTTCCCTCTTGCAGCCATCGGAAGACTTTGTGAAAAATGTGAGTGAAACACGCCCTCCCAGCTTCCCACTCCTCCCACTCTATGGAGTCAGCAAAGGGCCATTTCCAGCGGCGCCACAAAGAGGGTTTTCAGTAGATGAGACTGGAAGCCTGTAGACGAGCGACGCTGGTTTGCAATTAAAGGCCCTTTCCACCTCCTTACTCGGACTGGCGCATTTTTAAACACATTTAGGTTTTGAGGAAATCCCTAGCTTGGGACACAAAGTATTGCCAGAGTAACATGACCCCATTACCTAACATACAAGAGAGTTTTTGCCAGCATTGTAGAGACTTAACATCTGAAAGGAGCAGCCCTGGTGGTGCAATGGTTTAAGCACTCGTCTGTTAACCCAGAGATCGGTGATTGGGATCCACCAGGTGTTTTGCAGTAGAAGAGTTTAGCAGTCTGCTTCAGGAACCCTGTGGGGCTACTCTATTCTATAGAGTCACTATGAATGGGAATTGATTGGACTGCAGTGGGTTTGGTTTGGGGTTTTTTTAATCATGTACCAGGTGCTGTTCTCAGCTCTTTATGTATATTAAGTTTTGTAAGTGTTAAGGGGATTGAGATGGACACTAAACCAAACTCACTCCCATCGAGTTGGATCTGACTCATAGCGACCCCTCCTTGGGTTTCCAAGGCGGTTCTCTCTGGAAGTAGATTGGCCAGTCTTCCTTCTGAAGGGTGGCTGGTGGGTTTGAACTTCCAGCCTTCTGGTTAGCAGTCAGATGCCTTAGATACTACACCACCAGAGCTCCTGAGATGGACACTAGGTAATGCCAAAGTAGAGGAGGACCCTAAACTCACTGTCCAAAGGAAAGTAGTGCACTGCCCATAGCAGAAGAAGAGCAGCACACGGGAGAGGAGATACTTGGAGGTAAGCATAATTCCATTCTCTTTTTTTCACAGGTGATGGCAAGTGTGTGATCTGTGACTCCTATGTGCGTCCCTGCACCCTGGTGCGCATATGTGATGAGTGTAATTACGGCTCTTACCAGGGGCGCTGTGTGATCTGTGGTGGCCCTGGAGTCTCCGATGCCTACTACTGTAAGGAGTGCACCATCCAGGAGAAGGATGTGAGTATATGCAAAGCTTCCCACCTGACCTGTCCTCTTATTTAGTAACACTTTGCCATCCACAGCAAACGCCTGTGGTCAATGGAGATTACTGTGTTCAGCTAATCACCTAAGTTATAATTTATTTCTTTACAAACTGGGTGTAGTCCAGTAAAAGACAAGAGAAGCAAGTCAGACCAGCAATTTGAAAAGTCCTCGCTCTTGTTTGGATGTCTGTCTCTGAAACAACAGCTTACATTTGTGAGCCTGCCAAGCAGAGTGCATGGTGTGTGAAGACCACTCAGCATTTCTCTTGTTCAAGGCACTTGACTGCTAACCAGAAGGCTGGTGGTTCAAACCCAAGAGCTACTCCTCAGAAGGAAGATGGGGCAATCTACTTCCATAGTGATACTGCCTTGGAAACCCAAGGAGGGGTTGCTATGAGTCAGGTCCCACTTGATGGCACATAACAACATCAACACAACAACTATCCTTAAGGACTGTTGGTGTGGGTGTGGTGACAGTTGGGTCTGGGGTAATTGGAGTTGATTTCAGCTTTCAGCAGCTAAAGGATGCCTTTGGTTTAATATTGTAGACTTGATGATGGTTCTGCCTCACCAAGTTTTTGTTCCCTGGCATTGTGTAGTGGCAGGGACTAGTTATTAATGTTCAACTCCCTAAGCCAGATGGCAGGAAAGAGGGCTTGTAGATCAGCACCAAAGACAGGTTTGGGGGGAGTGGAGAGCCCATGAGTCAGTTAACTTGTCTTCCTAGATTACAATAAAAGGAAGCATGATACAGGCTCATTAGGCTAATAGAGGGTACCTGGTTACCTAGTAGGAGGCATGGTGGTTAAATGATTGGCTGCTAACCAAAAGGTCAGTGTTTCAGACCCACCAGCTGCTCTCCTGGAGAAAGATGTGGTAGTCTGCCTTGGGTTTCCCTATAGGGAATTTCTGCTCTGTCCTAGGGACAGAACTGACTCGATGTCAAGAGGCTTGGGTGTTTTTTTTTTGTAGCCTAGTGTAGAGTAGGCAGAAGATAAATGTTCTTCATGTTCTTGTGAGCTAATAGTGGGCACGGTTTATCTCCCTTTTTCCACACTATTAAATGGGTATCATTATCATTCCCATTTCACAGTCCCCCACCCAGCTAATAAGGGGCAAACCCAGGCTGTCTGACTAAACTTTGGGGTGTCACTATTACACCACGCTGTCTTTTATAAGTCATCTTGGTAGGATGCACCCACATTGAGGATAAACAGCCCAACCACCTTAACAGCCTATGAGTTTAGGTCCCATCTACCTCCAGTCATTGTGATACAGCAAGCCAGGTGAGACTATTCCTTAGGTCATTAAGTCTTCTGCTGTTTAGGGAGATTAGATAAAGAACTGAGAACATAATCTCAGTTGGTGGTTTGGACATTCTCCTAAATGCTGGTTAGCATTTCACTGATGTCAAATCATGTCCTGCTTTTTCTAAATCTGACTCTGGTTGGTCAGCTAGATTAAATTCCTTTAGAGCAAGGATGTTGGATGGTGTATTTGTCACCTTTTCTTTTCCCCAGTTCTTGGCACAGTACCTGCCATGTAGTCTGAGCATGATAGGACATGTAGGTGATGCCCTGTAAACCCTCCACCTTGCACAAGCTGTCTGACACATAGTAGGTGTTTGGTAATTACAGGGAATCTAAGCAGTGAAACCATGGTAAGGCAATAGCGAGGAAGAGAAAGTATAAAATATTGGCGTCTATTAGTGATAAAATTTTCTTAAACCTTGCATGGCTGTAGCTCGAGTTCTTATCTGATATGAGCTATGGAACCAGGAAGTGCTAACGAAATGTTAATTGCTGTCTGGCTTATCTGCATGTGCTGTGTGACCTGTTACCTCTGGGTCTTTGCGCCTCATTTTGTCCCTGAGAATTATCCTAGACGTCACTTCCCTTACTGCCCATTATACAGGACTGTTCTGAGGATATTTGAGATGGCATCTAGCTCACATTTATTCAGCACTTGTTTCCAAGGAACACAAAGCAGTCCAGTGACATGATCCACCTCTCAGCCATACAGATCGTCATGGAGATTATATGCCCAAGCCTTTTTCCTATACAGAAACCTTCCCAGAGTGAAAGTAACCTCATTATTGTTCTCTTCTTGCCGCTTCCATCATTTATAAGGGAATTAGACCAGTAAGCTAAGCTGGGTCCTCTCACTTACAGTTTTTCAAAACCACAAGAATAATTAGGAGTCAGGAATAATATCTGTGGATGTTGCTACAGAGACCTAATAAGTGGTTTCTTACAGGGCATCATCGTATTAATACCTTAACCCTTGATTCCTTTACTCCTTTTATTTACCATTTTCCTAACTCTCCCAACCAGGAAAGAAGAAAAATAAGTAACTAATATTTCTGGAGTTCTTACTATGTACATAGTCCTATGCTCAAGAATCTTTTACAGACATTCCCTGTGATACAGATGAGGAAATGAAAGCTTAGAAAAGTTAAGCAGGTTGGCCCAAGGTCACATAGCTAATAAGGGACCGATCCAGCAGTAGAACTCAGTCTGACTCTGTTTCTTGACGTTTTTTTCATTACCATCTCCCAATGAGGAAAGGTAAGGGCAGTGGCGGTTTAGTGGTAAGAGTTGTTGCCTTCGATGCGGGAGACCTGGGATGACTGCTCGCCCTGATGCATCTCGTGTGTGGGTACCACTCTTCCATCAGTGGACGCTAGCCTGTTACTGTGAAGCTCAGACAGACTGGGATGAAAGGCCTGGTGATCGCTACTACCAGAAACCAGCCAACAACAATCCTATGGATCACAACAATTTGATCTGCAGTCAGTCATGGGGATGGCATGGTTTCCAGCCCCCCACTTCCCCCATCCACCTAATATGTAGAGTCCTGACAGCAGCAACATCATCTTCAAAAAGTATCTTCCAAGGAAGGGTAGTGTGTGTGTGTGTGTGTGTGTACACACCCTTGTGAGATTGCTAGTAACTGACTGTTCTTGGCAATTGGTTAAGGGTTGACGATATGCCAGGCACTGTTCTAAGGATGTTTATTCAAATGTTTAATCCTCTTAATTCTATGAGGCAGGTTCTATCATTATCATCATTTTACACTTGACTAAACTGAGACTCAAAAGTCAGGTGGTCTGGCTCCAGATCCTACCATCTTAACCTAAGGGATGAGTGAGACCAGAACTGTGCCAATTTGGGGATAGGCCCTCCCATCCCCTGGTGTCTAGCAGGAATCTCTGGGGCTCTATAAAAACTGTGTGTAAACATTGGCCTGATTTAGTCTCCTTATTTTACACTTGGGGATATGAGTCCAAAGAGACTTCCCTACAGTCACCTGGCCAGTCAGCAAGGCACAAATTAGGCTATCGTCATACCACAAAATAGCATAGTATCTGAGGAGCTTAGAGCACTGTCTTCTTTAATAGCAGGCTTTCTTAGGCCAGAAGAGGCAGCTCTTCCTTCATTGTTACAAGGACCTTAAATACTGGTTACATGGCTTGCTTGAGTTCACCTAGCCATTGGTGGGGCTGGATGTAGAACCTGGCTACCTGATTACACCACGCTGTAAAGATGAGTTAATGCAGTGCCTGGTGCACAGACAATAAGCATCAGACCTGAAACTTACCCAGTTTTCCTCCCATCATCCCAAACAACTGAGGGAGTCACAGAGCTTCCGAGGGGCTTCGTTGAACCCACTCAAGCTCACAGAATTGCCAAGGGGGGGTACATCACAGATCAGAGCACAGACTATCAGGGCCATCTCAATAAGAGCACTGCTTTCCCAGCACCATGTGTCACATCTCAGTAGAGCTTCATAGTCCATGGTATTTAAAACAAAGCACTATTTGCTGAAGTCCAGTGTTTTTTTTCCTTTCTGATATACTCTCCTTTCTTGGGAAAGTGCTTCTATACAGACGGGCTAGAGAACTTGGTCTACAGGTGATTATTGCTTTGTCTTACCTGTCATGTGAAAAACATTCCTTTGGTGGTTTTTTGAGCGTTTCAGGTTACTTCAGTGGTATCCTATTAGCAATAGAAGTGGGCTTAGAATCCTACATTCTAAGTGCAGATACAGATCACTGGAGAGGGTAGGCAGGCCCTGGGTACATGCTAGATGCTTAGTAAATTCTCGATAACTGACTAAATAGGATGACTGGTAAAATGAACAGCTAAATCATTAATCCAAAAGTTGTCCTGGCCAGTTATAACGTGGTCTTTCAAAAGTCATGAGAGCTTGGGAAAAAACAGTGCTGACTGAGCCCGACTTCTCAGGGAAGGGGGTCGGGGTCTTTGGGAACATTTGCAAACCCATTTATTGGGGTTTTGAATACTAGGATGAGGGGTTAACTTTCATTCTTTCTATGACCCGATTTTTATCTTTAATCCCTTGATGCATGCTCAAAGACTTTTAACAACTTACAATTCTGTTTTCCAGAGAGATGGTTGCCCAAAGATTGTCAATTTGGGGAGTTCTAAGACTGATCTCTTCTATGAACGTAAAAAGTACGGCTTTAAAAAGAGGTGATTGGTGGGTAGTCCCTGCCTCCCCCCATCAGGCTGCTGCAGCTGCAAGCGAATACACCCCAAACCAGCAGCAGAAAGGAAGGAGAGACCAGAACGTCACCAGACTTGCCTGTTGGTATACTGGCCCCTTCCTCGCCCTCCCCCAGACACATAGTAGCAACAGAAAAGGATTCTTCCTAGTGCACTCTGCAGACTGTCTTAGAGAGAAAGTGATGGTTAAGTACTAATTTTTCCTGAATTTGAGGGGCAGGCCTCATCCTGTACATGTACGTGTTCTTGCTACACCAAGAACTTCTAAAGCAGGAATGTATACTACTGTTTTAGTCTTCTCTTTAGAGAGTTGCCTGTGAAGCTGCCCTCATTACCACAGTGGAAAGTGTCTCTTACAGCAGCTCTGATGGCAGTCGCCTTTGATGAAACATGGTCAGGGTCTAGTTGGGGCTGTGAGAACAATCTGGGGGATTTTATCTTGTAAAGTGTCCTAGGTGGTTTCCTGTTACTTTTCTGAGAAATCGGAAACCCTTTCTGTTGCTATTGTATTAATAAAGTTGATGTTGATTTTCTGGTAGTTGGCCACCTTCGCATTTAAGTATGACTCTAGGAATTATTTTATTCACCCAGGAATGTGATTAAAATGAGAGGTACTAGATCTCATTAAGCACCTAGTCCTCCTGTGACCACTGACAGGAATTCAAAATGTCATGCATGACAGGTAAACCAAAGTCATTTTGAAATCTTGGCTGTTCTTGAACTGAAGTGGTGGCTTCCAGTAATAGTGACAGGAACGGGACAAAATTAAATCAATGAACTGGGAGGACTCACTTGGTTTCATGAAAAAGCGTGTGTACTTACATTCAGGGTGTGCTTTCATTTTGAGAAGGCCTGTAGTTTTGAAGCACATTACTAGATTCAGGGAACACTCAGATACTTTCCTTACCCTAACTGAACTGTGTGTCTTTTCTACATGCTAGAAGTGATAAGTTCTCCTAAAGAGATAGTCATAGTGTGAGACATCAAATCAAGTGGTTCTTTGCCATTGGCTTTTGAACAGAGGTGATGAATCCTGATGGCCCACAGTTACACTGCAGCGTAGTAGCAAAGCCAAGGAAAGCAGCATGAGTCCCCTGACTTGTCCAGGGTTTTGGTTTGGGTCAACTCATGATATACTGAGTGTATAAAATTGAATTAAGGTAATCTCTGCCTTCAAAGAATTTGATTAGGGAGCCTGACAGGAACAGATAATTCCAGTATAACCCAGAGGATGTACAAAGGGTTCTTGGCACAGCTTGGGAGGGAAATCAAAGCCATCAGACTAAATGTAATCCTCACCATGGCTTCCGGGCACCTGTGGCCTCATTCACTCACCCTTCAGTTCCTCCAGCTGCTGCTTGCCTTCCTGCCTCTGTGCCTTTTCACCTGCTGATCCCTCTGTAATCCCCCGCCCCCTTTTGTTTACCTCTTCTTCATCCTTTAGACCTCAGCTGGGTATTTCCTCGAAGATGCTCTCCCAACGCTTAGTCTAAGCTCTGCCTTTACACCCCTCCAGAGCCCCCAACATGTCATCTTGATAGCATTTGATGATTCTTGACTGCTGCCTACTAGGCTGTGCTCCAAGGGGGCAGGAACCAAGTCTGGGCTGCCTCAGAAGAGCAGGTGCTTGCCTTTACTGAATCGAATGAAGAGAAGTGGATAATAGGCTGGACTTCGGAGGGTATGTTGGAGTCTACAAAGAAAGGGGAAGGAAGGGAAGGACGTGTGGTGGAAGAAAACAGTTTAAGAAAAGGCAAAGCCCTGAACCGTGTGTGTACGTGTGGAGTTTTAAGGCAACTGCTTACCAAAGACTTGAGTAGGGGATGGGGGTGTCAAGTGAGTTGCAGAAACCAGTCATTTTTAGATTATAATTTAAAATTTATAATTTCATAGTAACTTTAGTTTTATACATTAGTCAAAATGTTTTGTTTCACCAGAAATTCCTTTTTTTAATTGCCTGTTCAGCACCCTGGTCCATATAAACCTTGCATCTACAAATGTTCCAAAGGCTGGACCTTAGTTTCAGCAAAACGTCACCCTAAGCACACTCAGTCCAGCATACGTGCCTCCCTTTGCAAGGGAGCACCAGATTAATGCCCGTAGGATCTCAAGGGCAGGGCCCTCCACGCTCATCTTCAGTGGGGCAAGTCCAACCTTAGCCCAGTGGGTTCAGCTGACCTCTGCTCCTCTGACCTCACTGCATAATCCCTGCCCTTGGATTATTTTCTTTGTGATCACCAGAGACCAAGACAGCAGTCAAGTGCAATGAGGAAATTAAGAACACCTGAGATAAAGCAGTGGTCTTGAAGTTCAACTCTTTAATTACTATCTACCTTGGACTTCAGAAAGAAGCTCTGGCAGTGTAATGAATAATAAAGCATTTGGCTCTTAACCAAAAGGTCATCTAGTCCAAACCCACTAGCTACTTGATGAAAGAAAGATGAGGCAGTCTGCTTCTGTAAAGATTTATAGCCTTGGAAACCCAGCAGGGCTTGCTATGGTTTGGTAATTGACTCAATGGCAGTGAGCTTGGTTTGGTTTTGGTTGCACTTTAGAATATTGCCCTTTCAAGTTTAAAAATTAGTATAATGATAGTTCCAAATGCTCTGTTGGAAAAATAAAGAGTACACACTGAATGTTAACCTCCAACAGAATATAGTTCTGTGAAAAGACTTTAAATAATCTCAGCCAAATGTGTATTACCACCAAAAATCAGAATGGTCTAGTGTTCTTCATTTTTGAAACAAGCACTAACTAGTTATGTTGAAATAACTGAACTTGTCATAGTCAGCCTGAGAAAACAGGTTCCCTTTTCTAGGTTTATGATCTCCATTGTTTTTGCGTCATCACTCCTTTGATAAATAGTTTAGTACATACCCTTCTTCACCATCACCATAATTCAAATGCTTCATTTCTTAAGTCTTCCTTATTCATTATCCATTGTCTATGGCTTGGGTCAGATGCACCTTTGTTCTCAGCGTGATAGCTTTCTTTCTTAACACTTTAAAGACATCTTTTCCAGCAGAACAAACAAATCAGTCTTGGAAGTAGAGCCATAATGCACCTTAGAAGTGAGGATGGCATGGTTTCACTTGAATAAGAAAGTGATCTTTCTCTTAGAAAGATTAGCACAAGGCCAGTCCCTATGAGGCGAAGGTTAGAGATGTCCCATGTGCCCAACTTTTCCAAACTGCCGTGCCACTCCATCATCTCTGACATCAACTCCTCCTCCCCTCAGTACTCTCCCTCCCATGTTAGAGTTCTGTCATTCACAATAACATCTCACAGAACTCACAAACTCCCAAGGAAACGGCTCATGTGGTAGTGGGGGCGGCTGGCAGGCTGGCGAGTCCCAGGTCTGTGGGTAGGTCTGGAGGATTCTCCCAACTCACATGGTTGCAGGGATTGGTGAATCCAAATCGGCCAGTCAGATGACAGCTGCTGTCTCAAGTCCAGGGGTGCAGTGATGAACCAAACAGAACCTGGAGCAAGAGAGTGAACTTCCCAGAACGTTCTATACATACCCTCACTGAAGCTACAGATGGTGACTTGGATCACACCCTCCATCAAGGTGGAACTCAAGATATATCCCACCCTAAACAGGCATAAAGGATAGGATTTACAATATCAAAATGGAGGACAGTGGCTAGAAGGGACATATTAAGTAATTAATTGCACTGCACTTCCTTTGGACATGTTTTCAGAAGAAACTAGTCCTTGGAGAAGGACATCACACATGGGAAAGTTAAGACTGTCAGGGAAAGAGAAGACTGTCAACGAGACAGATTGACACGGTGGCTGCAGCAATAGGGCTCAAGCACAGCAGCGATTGTGAGGACGGCACAGGACTGGGCAGCACTTCATTCCATTGAATGGAAGGTCAACTATGAGTCAGAATCGTCTTGACACCTAACAACAGTGCATACTCAGTTCTAGATTCTAAAAGGATGGGCATTGGTGCCTCTAGCGTCTCCTCATTCAAGAACACTGTACACATGTCAAATTAATCTCCCTTCAAAAACTGCTGCTCAGTAAAGGAGTGTAATGGGAAACGTACGGACTGTAAATCAGACAGAATTAACTGCAAGTTCTGTGTTTCTGTCTTCTTACCTATTAAATACGGATGATAGCATCCATCTCTTCAGGTTGTGTGGATTACATTTGACATAAGTGCCTGACACTACACAAAGTACTATATAAATGGTAGTTCTTATTACAATAAGATTATACTTCATACATAAATTTCTCTCGTCTTCAAGTTGGCTCTCACTGAGCAAAATACATAAAACAGTACGGAATGTTGGCAGGTCCTGCACCATCTTCATGCCTTCGATGTTTGAGGCCATTGGTTCAGCTCTTGCATCTCAATGAGGACTTCTCTCATTTGCATAGACCCTCCACTAACCATGATGTCTCTTTCTAGCGATTGGTGTGTCTTTCCTGATGATGTGTCCAAAGTAAGTGAGCCAAGGTCACGCTATCCTCACTTTTAAGAAGTATGCTTTTCTTTACACACCCTGGTTTTTCTCTTCTCTTTCTGCCCTCCAGCCCATCCCCGCACACTCCTGTCATCTTGGCTGTTTTCTTTGTCTGAAGTACCCTTCCACCTCACATCCTTCCAGGTTCCTGACATCTCACGTGGCTCCCACATACTCCACATCCCACAACCTCTCTCACACTTCACCTGTTCTCATGCCTGATACATTTAACAGAAACAAGTTTCTTGAAACTAATGACTACTCCACTTCAAGATTTTTTATTTTATTCCATTCTAAAAATCCCTGGCTGAAATCCTTAAATCAAGTGATTTTATGAGCCCACTGACAGATCAAACCCAGGATTTAAAAACTGAACTTGATCATAAAGCCCCTTTTGCCTCCCCCTCCACTGCAGGGCGCGTACCAGGCAGGCACTCAATTACCTGTTACGTTGAACTGAACAGGGAGTCACGAACTCCGGAGCCCGCATGAGGAATATAACAGAAAGGGAATGGGTCTAAGAAGAATAACCCAAGCGTGATGATGGATGGCAGTCACCTCACCTCAGATAATACAGAGTAGTGGACCTTGGGGAACGAGAACACAGGCCCGGTCCAAAGGAGACAGCTGCTATTCAACTGCAGACAATTGCTGCTAGCTTGAATGTCCATTGTTGCCAGA